GGTTGACTAGACATCTCTGCCCTGTTTTGCAACAGTACAGTGGATACTTAATGAAAAAGTATACAAGATAGAGTCAGGGCATCAGTTTGCTTCAAAATAGTGCTTGTAGTCAATCTGAAACCCTGGCTTCCCAAAAAGTTTAACTTGAGTAGGAGGCTCCCTGAAATCCGTTGTCAGGTCAAGGCAATAGCAAGTTATATTGCCACCTGCTACTCTCATTCCTATTCCCTCTGTGATGACAACTCGTGCAATGGTGCTCAACCAATGGAGAATGCATTGTATTTGCACCATTGTGATAAGATTGTTGTTTCAATCCTTTTTTCCAGCTTTGACCAGGGAGGACCACTCTCAAAAGCCCAGATAAGATGGACATAGGCTGTACTGTATGGGTCCGGTGATCTGCCTGCGGGCTAACCTTCGACTTCTCTAGCACTCATGCTTCTATCCCAGCCATCCCTAACTCATCGCCCTATCCCCCTTCATGTCATAGCCATGGTAACATTAAAGACTTTTCCAGATGTGTCTGGACATTTGGCTTACAAAAACAAACTGTGCAAAAGCTCCATGCAACCTTTCCTCCATAAATGTGTTCTTACAGCCAATGGAGCTGCCCACCAGTGTTCGGTCCAGAATAGGTTGAAGCTCACACATTCTCTGTGCCCTTCTTTCGTCGCCCTCATAATGGTACAAGGGGGGGCTGAGGGCAGGACAGGGACCCAAGGTTAGCGAACAAGGCGTATCCAGTTTCTGTTGTGTAACAGCAATACCTCCAAGCTTCCTGTGCACATGTTCTGTGTAATGCTCATGTCCTGGTGATTGGGTGGGCCATTAGAGGACATGAGGCAAGTGAAACTCTACCTGATTCATACTTCCTCCCACTGCTGCTGCTGCAAGTTGGAGCTGGACTTCAAAGTTGTCTAACAAGTGCAAGGAGATGAAGAGTTGATTGCCCTTCAAACACTGCTTCTTTGTTTGACCAGGGAATTAAAGCTGACTTGGACATTTCTCATTTTCAGTCTTGCATTATTTCATATTGAACTCTATTCTGAGGTCATTCCGTTGGCACCTTGCTTGAAAACACACAGGCATGATGCAGCAGAATGTGACCCTGTGTCCTGACACCTCTCTTTTTCCCTTCCAACACCTCCTCTGGGCTCCCTCCCCCTCCCCTCTCTCTAAAGGGCAGGGCCGTGGCACACTAATCTCCCCATACCCGCTCTACCCTTCTGACTGCCCCACCCTGACCCCACCTCGCCTCACTGTGTTTGCTTTGGCACTTCACGGGACATCCGTCACAGCACCTGCCACTGCGGCCCGCAGCCTGCCTTCACCCATACTCCCTCAAGCGTGCTAAAGGGTGAGCCACGTGTCCCCAGCACCCTCTAAATGGGTGACAATACCACTGTCCTCGCCCGTCCGGATTAAGCACCGGTACAATCTGCTCCAAGGGGCGGGAGTGAGTCAGGCGTGAAAAGGGGAAAAACCGGTGTATGTTGTTTTTAGCCCCCCCCCCCATTCAAAAATATTTCTCTCTGTCCCAGCAAAGCAACACTGGGGGGAAGGTGAACAAGACCAGGTGTTTTAGTCAAGGCTAAAATACATTTAGCTTTTGTGACATTTGTGACTATTACGTATGAATTTCCGTGGCTAGATTCAATGCTGAATGATACAACATATCAGGATTAGGACCAAACAACATATAAATTACTGAACATCATCCACCTAGCACATAGGGTGGTCTACTTAAAAAATGGTCTTTATATTGAATGGACGAGGTAAAAGACGGCCTTTAGGGGCCTCTGTTGCTTTGTCCCTTTGTTGAAAGTAATCTAAAACAAGGGTTGAACCCAGTACAGAGACTTGTCAAAATGACTGGCACCTCTTGACACCTGCATCAAGGCCTCTTTGTGTAGGTATCCATATGTGCAGCGTAGTGGCCTTGCATCGGCCACAACTAGGCCAGACTGAAAAGGAGAGAAGCTGCTTTTGTCCTCATGGGTCTGTAATGGACTGATAGCATCGTGCTGACCTCCCTCCTTCCCCACCTGTTTCCCTTCCTCTCTTTATCCGGCTGTTAAAGGCCCCATTTAGGGCTGCTGATACTCTCAACCTTTGGCTATCAGCGACGGAGGGCCAGTGAGAGGTGCAGATTGTGTGCTGCGATAGATCAGGTAAGGGAGTGGGGAGAATACACAGTAAACCCTTGTTGAGTGAACACTGTCTTTAACTAGTGTTTCACATTCTGTAATATTATATGGTAGGCATTTATTCTCAAAGATACTAGCTCATAAATAAAGCTTTAAGAGGACACAATTGATGTCACTGTGGAGGCGATATCTGAAGGTTGTGCCAAACTGAAAACAAGATCCTTTTCAATTTGTTGATGTGTATCAGCGATGATGGCTTTGCAATCCTTTTGGACTTCATAATATCATCGCCTTAGTAGCTCCCGCCTCTTACACCAACCGGGAAGGGGATGACAGGTGCCAGCATCAGACCTCCGTGGGGGTGATTAGGTCCCCCGACCAGTGTGACAGCCAACGTCATATCAGGACTCTTTCACTGTGTGAGAAGACCTCTGTCCTCGCAACTCAGAATGAAAGAGACCATTTTTTCTCCCCTCACCGGGCCATCTGACAATCCAATCAACCAGGCCAGCAGTAACATAATATCCCTCTTCTGATAGGGGCTCTCTCCCACTCTCCTTGCTTTTCTTCTCTGTCTTTTCCCTCCTTGTTGTTGTGGCAGGGATCTGCAGAGAGGGGCGAAGGTTGGCAGGGCAGGTGTCTGATTTTCATTAGAATTGCAAATAGGAGTGAGTGGATGCCCGATCAGATAAGAAGGAGAGGCGAGAACAATGGGGGAGAGGAGAGGGGAGAGAAGAGTAGACAGGAGGAGAGGAGACGGCAGTGTTTGGGTCTGACTGTGCTTCCTTTGATCCCTGTGGGGTAAAGCCAAGGCTCATCTAACTCCCCACCGCACCCAGGAGACCGACTCCTTACCTCACCTCATCCTTCCTACTTCCCTCCGATCATCCACTAGAGTCCCATAGGTCGGAGCAAAGGGCTGCCGAAACACCAACATGGTTAGAAAAAGATCTTCAAAATCTTGCTGGGTTAATCAGATATTCATGATTACAAGTCCAGTGATTTCACACCTCATCACGGCTCTTTCCAATCTCTCTCAATCTTGCTCATATGTCAGAGGCAGAATTAATAGGTGAACATCATACTTTATTACATTAGCAATGAAGAAAATCAAAAATGAAGAAAAATGGTCTTATTAACAGATATAACTTTCCGGATATGAACCATTGTATAAGTATCTGCCACACACACACACACACGCACGCACGCACGCACGCACGCACGCACGCACACACACACACACACACACACACAGAGAGCCGAGTTTGAATGACACAAGCACACGTGTAGTTCCATGCACTCTCTGATTGGTCTGGTGACTTGCCTCTGTTGCATTCACTGAACACGGGAAATTGCAGTCCTGCCGTCCTCTCTTGTGTCATGTGAGTTTCACATAAAGCACGGTTAATGTATTATATTATTGAGGTGTCTCAAATATATGTCAATCAAGTGGCACCTGCTAACGGGGTGGTGGATGATATGTTTACATCTAAAAACATATTTTTCAAACATTATTATTTTAATTTTATTTTTATTTCTTTTGTTACTTTTTTGTTAACGGTCCGCGATCTACCCGCACCACACTCGCGATCGACCGGTCGATCGCGATCGACTGGTTGGTGACCACTGTCCTATGGCATTACCCCGCTGAAGCTCACCAAAGTTTAATATATTTCATAGTTCAAAGTTTTGTCAATTGTTTTGTTTATTGGTCAAATACTGGTTTCTGAGGAGTTTTACTGGAATGAAAGAGCACAGAGTCTACAGAAGCAACAAAGCAGCATACTGCATTAAGCCTGACCTTCACAGAGAGGTTGAAGTTCATGTGGAGAGGAGGCTTCAGTAGTCTGTCTGCACTCTGTTTAGTTGTGCTATCTTACAATCAATATAGTAAATGTGAGGTAAAGTTTGTTGCCAATGTAACCGGTTAGAACTCGAAGTTGCGATGAGGTCTTAAAACGTATGGAAAGGGTCTTAAAAAAGGTCTTAAAAGGTTAAATTTGACTTCAGGATTCCTGCATATACCCTGTTATTGTACAGGTGTGCAATAATCAACAATAAAAGGCCACTCTGAAACGTGCAGTTTTGCTTTATTGGGGGGGTCTGGGGGGGTCCGAAAACCAGTCAGGTTTAACCCTAACCCTAACATGTCACCCACTGACATGTTAGAGTTAGGGTTAGGGTTAAACCTNGTTACGTGCAGCTAGTTAACCAGATGCTACATCACGGTCTCCGCTAGCACAGGTCCCTCTCTCTCCCTCCTCTCCCTCCCTCAGTCCCTCTCTCCCTCTCTATCACACTAAATGCGCTATCGCCACACACACACAGAGCCGAGCTTGAATGACACAAGCACACGTGTATTTCCATGCAACTCTCTGATTGGTCTGGTGACTTGCCTCTGTTGCATTCACTGAACACGGGAAATTACAGTCCTGCCGTCGTCTCTTGTGTCATGATGAGGTTCACGTAAAGCACGGTTAATGTATTATATTATTGAGGTGTCTCAAATATACGTCAATCAAGTGGCACCTGCTAATGGGGTGGTAGATGATAGGTTTACATCTAAAAACATATTTTTCAAACATTATTATTTTAATTTTATTTTTCTTTCTTTTGTTACTTTTTTGTTAACGGTCCGCGATCTACCCGCACCACACTCGCGATCGACCGGTCGATCGTGATCGACTGGTTGGTGACCACTGGTCTACATGATAGGGAACTGTAGCGGATACGACCTGTATCGTCTCCGTGTGGTTGCAGCCATAGTCTCTGCCTCTTCACTGCCACCTGTCAAACATAACGCCTAAATATTTGTACAAAGCAATGTACTGATGCATTTTATTCCCGGCAGGTCCTGCGGATAAGTAGCAGTCATTCTAGGCAGCCCAAGCGGACGCTCTTCGTCTGTCGGCATGGGGAGAGGATGGACGTGGTGTACGGAAAACACTGGCACTCCCTCTGCTCCGACAGTAAAGGTGAAAAGCTGCTGGTAGACAAAAAGTCAAAAACATTCCTACTTTTTACTGCCTTAAGGAAATGGCTTTACGGCTGAGAATGTGTGCTCTGTTGTTCTGCAGGCAGATATGTACGCTCCAATCTGAACATGCCTCCCAGTTTGCCGCTGTGGGGGGGGCAGAGAGATTACGACATGGACGCTCCCATCACTGTGATCGGATCCACACAGGCTCGACTTGTGGGTATGTCACTAAAATACTTTTTTAAATGATGCACTACACCTTGGCAGAGGAAGAAATCTGTTTGTTTAATGTGACTCATATGTGCTTCTTCTCAGGTGAGGCTCTGTTAGAGAGTAACACAGTGATCGACTTTGTGTACTGTTCTCCTTCTCTGCGATGTGTCCAGACTGCACAGAACATCCTGAAAGGTGAGAGAAGAAGTTAAGTTTGCCTGGATTTCCTTTTTAATTTGAAGATGAGCTCTAAAGAGGTGTGTGTGTGTGTGTGTGTGTGTGTGTGTGTGTGTGTGTGTGTGTGTGTGTGTGTGTGTGTGTGTGTGTGTGTGTGTGTGCGTGTCTGTGTTTGTGTGTGAGAGAGCAGGTCTGCAGCAGGATGGTAAGCTGAAGGTGCGAGTGGAACCGGGGCTTTTTGAGTGGACCAAGTGGGTTTCGGGGACCTCCCTGCCTGCGTGGATCCCCCCCACTGACCTGGCTGCAGCGCACTTCAGTGTGGACACAACATACAGGTGATACAAACAAGGCACACCTTGTGCGGTTCAAATGCTGTGTTCATTAAACATGTAGAAGAATGTGTCATCTGCAAAACGTCCCACATAGTTTCAACAAAGTAATGCCTGAATGTTTGCCTGTCAGAAATAATAATTGATTAGCAGTAGATCACCTGGTAGGCCGGAACCCCAAGTTTTAATGGCTGAGTTTTACCCGCCTGGGTTCGAATAAAAAAATGAAAGATGTACATAAGGTAATGTACGGTTTATTTGTGCAGTTTACATGCTTAACATGCAGCAGATGTTTTCTATCCATTCTGCCTGCCAGTTTCTTAACAGAAGCTGTAGTCCGCTTTGACCTGTATATTTGATGAGTGCTGTTAAATTGCATCTTTCTAACTGAAAACAACAACCCCAAACCACAGTGCACTTCCATTCAAAGTTAATCAAGTTTTATATATATATTTTTTAATAATGTTTTTTTATGTACCAGTGGTTTTGTAAAAATCTCTTTTTGTCTCAATGCAGACCTCTGATCCCAGTCAGCAAGCTCAGTGTGTCCGAACCTTACGAGACCTACATGAGCCGGAGCTACCAAGTGACCAAAGATATCCTGTCAGACTGCAGAAACACTGGTGAGAAACACAGCAGAGCTCCTGCTAAGAGAGGAACCTCATCCTTTATTGTTTTGCATGCTCATTGGTTTGTCCACTGCTGATGTTCCATCCTGCCTGGGTTTCCCCTCTCCGTAGGAAACAACGTGCTGATTGTAGCCCACGCGTCTTCCTTAGAGGCGTGCACACGGCAGCTGCAGGGCCGCGGCCCACAGAGCGCCAAGGACTTCATCCAAGTAGTCCGAAAGGTCTGTTCAATAGATGTTTTGCTTTTATAAATTTCCTATCTATCAATCAATACTCCATGTGGTTCCTTCAGCTACTGGAAAAGAAAATAAATGACCAACTTGGCTGAATAAATGAATGAAAAAACACTTTGCATGCCTATGGAAAACAACTGTTAAACTAAAGGCCCAGATACACCGGCCAGTCACCTTAGAAGTCGCCGACGCCGACACTGACTGTTGCGTCGCCGGACTCTCCTGCGTATTTGCCGACTTCGCACACTGGAACACACCGCAAATCCGAGCCGAGCACGTATGAACTGCATATGCGTGAGTGGCAATAACTCTCCTTACCAGCAGGCGGCAGTAGTGTGTATTCATCATTCAAAAGAGGCGGAACAACCGGAAGACAGAGAAGAAGAACAGACTCCGTGATATAAACAAACAACAAATAGCGTTTTTCTTTCCATTTTCACTCTCGTCCATTGAAAACATGAACGAACGGGAGCTCTATAAACCGATGAGGTGAAATAGCCGTCCGTGTGTGTTCCATCTTCCATTTTAAATCATTTGTTTACCTCCCTCACTTCCGTTAACGCTTCTCATGCACTGATTCGCTAGCTAAACAGCCAATCAGTGTTATCCCTTTGTCCGACTTCCGGTGGTGTTCCCGACACCGATTCAATATGTTGAATCGGCAAGAAAAGGCGTCAGGTCGGCAGAAAAGACCCGACGGTGCGGCGCACACCACTCCGAATAGGGCGTGCCCACGCTCATGTTCGGCCCGACTCACATTTACTGCCGATTTCGGGCCGATGTATCTGGGCCTTTACAGTGTTCAGGAGGGGTTCAATTAAAAAAAAGGGTAAATTCACTCTAAAACTAATTCTCAAACGTATTATTGTTTCTTCTTCTTGGTCTTAGATCCCCTACCTGGGCTTCTGTTCCTGTGAGGAGCAGGGAGACACAGGGGTTTGGCAGTTAGTGGACCCTCCCATCCTCCCCCTCACACACGGACCAAACCACTCCTTGGACTGGAGGGAGACACTGATGCAAGAATGACATGTGATCTGAACTCTGTCCCACCTGATCAGACTGTGCTCCTTCCCCTCCACTGACTGCAGGAACAAGTTTCAGACCAGTGCCACTCAAATACTGGAAGCTTTCTTTTTTCCGCCTCTTCACACAGCTGGTGGCTCATCAGTGAGCCATGAAAAAGCTTCCTGCCTGAATATGAAGAAAAGTCGCAGCCGATTAATGGTTGTCGAACTGACTGATCTGGCTCTGAGGCTGGATTAAACAACGATTTAACAAATGTCCACTTACAATAATTACAGTATTGCATTTTTATTTTTGCAGGTAGAGTGAGATTGAATTAGTCTGGCAGGACGGGTGTTGGCTGCACTGCGTGGGAGAGCTCTCACTGAACACCAGCTGACTTCGTCAGCCCAGTCTCAGAACATTTTGTGAAATAAGCGCATTTTATAACAGATAATATTGTCCTATGTGTAAAGAAACATAATTTATTACAAACAAAAATGCCTGAAAATTTAGTTTTGTTGTTGTTGTTTTTATAAACAAATAACTGTATGAATGCAGAATCTTGAGGCAACATGACAAGATTTTGTTATTGCATCGCATTTTGAGCAGTATTGACCAATTATTTGTTTGCGTGCTTTGCTGGCACCCAGGTAAAAAGACTGTGTTGAGAGTGTAAGAGCGGAACGCATTACCTCCCTCCCATTTTTGAAGTCATCAACCGTTTTCTGACGACTATTTCCTTTTTCTTAAATAAAAAAATAGGTTAAGTGAACTACTTCTTAAACAACCTGGTCGCAGAAGTCATCTCTTAACTCCAACGTAATTTCAATGTCTCAATTTGCTAACATTACTGAGGCTTCTCTCAAAATGAGCATGCCTTATAGGCTAATTCAATTCGAAATTATCAGACTGATGTCACTGCAAATTTAGCTACCTATTTTTTTCTCATTTACACTTGAATTTAGACTATATCTTGCAGGCTAAGTTCCCCTCAATAAAATATGTATTTCACATTTAGTGGTTCCCTAAATATGAACTGGATAACTCAAAACTCAAATTGGTTGACTTTACTAAACCTAGCTTACTAACATTAAACATTAGCTGTAAGCATACAAGAGTATACATTTAAAGCCATTACAATTAATTGAATTAAATGTTCAAATTAGGTCTTTAGTAATTATATGAATTATTGACGTCATTATATATTTGCATTTAATGCATTACCTGACATGCTTGTTAGCTTACTAAAATGTTAACCATGGTGGCTTGACACGTTGTTCTTTAACAACAAATATATTGTGTACACCCATGTCATAACCACAAGCTCATGAGTACCATCTGACAGCAGCATTAGTTCCAACATACTGTACAGTATCTCAGATGCTAAACCTTGTAGCACTTGCTTTTTACTTAGGATACTGTAAACCATTTTGACTTGGCAGTATTTAAACCCCACTAAACAAACAATAACAACAAACAAATTTGCCTCAGAAATTGGGTTTCTGGTGTGTAATGCAGATTACAATCTCAGTGGGTTTCATTTGTATGGCTATAGATGTGGTGGTTTCAGGTAGATCTTTAGTCCAATGTAACTGAAAGTTTGCACAACTTTATTTTTGACTATGTGCTTAGTTCACAAAATTGAATGAGACTGTAAAGAGAGTGTAATATCATACAGTAAAATCCCTGCTTCTGTGTACAGATCCCAGCAGCATATTCACCGTTCATTCACACCGCTGCTTGCCCTTGTTCAGTGAGGGAAAACATATCAGTGCTGGCTTCACGTCTTCATCAGGGAATCGCATATTTTGGTAGCACATCCAGTACAGCAGTGTCTTCTGTTATTAATGTATTGTATGTAAAAGGAACAGTAACTATATAACAGCACAACCTGCACTATTGACAATCATACGGTAACTGCTTAATTCTGTTCCGATTTTTTCTTTTGTAAGTTTGAGTTTGGTAAATGTTCTTCAAAATTCAGAGTAGCTGTAAATAATCATATTTTAGGGAAAAAAGTCTTCCAGTTGCATTTTTATTTATTTATCAACCTTTGATTCAGATGTTACAAGCAAACATATTAACAGCATGCACAATTTTTATGATCGGTATCTCAGGTGTTGACTGCATTTAAGACATGTTCCAGTAATTGAGTGACTGTTGTTGTGAGTGCCTGTTGGGAATAAAGGGATGTCTCCTGATGTTCTGACTTTCTACCCTGGTGCAGAAAAAGAAGCCGTTTTAAAGGATCAGTACGTTTGTGAGACGGTTCTCATCACAGCCTTGTTGATGAGAACATCTCAATTCAGGGTAAATTTGTTTTGCCTTTTAGAGTCATTTTGCAGAATTGAAAATGATGTGTCCTGTCTATGACATGAGTTGCTTCTAAAGCCATTATGATGGGAATTTATAGTGATTCAATATATATGTAAGTTTCCTCGCTATGAAATGTTCTCAGACCGAAGGGAGTCGCCCTGACCATTGTCAGGCAATTATCATATGGATGTTAATTTTAATTAACATGCTGTGCTTCTCCTTCTGTCTGCCCCCAACCAATTTAGGACTAATGTGGATTGCCTTCCTTCCTGTGTCTCATCTCTATAAATGACATTGCTTTTCTGTGTAAGAATCAAGTTTTTTTTACCGAGGACTCTTTTTAGACAGACGTGTCTAGTTATTATGTAGTGGTTGTTATCATCTGGTGGATCTGGTTAAAACTGGACCAGATTTTGTTCATCTCACAAGAGACAAAATAACTATAGAGAGATAGTGGGTGGTTATAACAGTAAAGCTGCGTCTGAGGATGATCTTAGTCCAGCACCAGTTTTCTCTTCAATAATGCAAACAATGTTTGACAGAGACAACGATAATCTAAAACAATTTTCAAAAGTGGGAAGAATTGGGTTTTCCAAAAGATGGGGGTTTCAGTTTAAGACAACTGGATGCATTGGTTGGGTTGAGTGTGGAATTTCCACCACAGCCATAGTTCAAACTATGGACTCCTTTTCTACCAAAATCATCCAATTGTGTACAAATGATCACCTCTTCTATGCCTATTTTGAACTCCACTTTTAATGACTAAATACGTAGTGAGGTAAGACTTACGTGTCTGTATACCCAACCTGTTAAAGAGCATCTTGCAGGTTTTTATTTTTTCTAATTTAAGCTTAAACTTGCTTGAAAATTACAATTAAAAAAGTGAATAAAATAAAAACCTGCAAGATGCTCTTTAACAGGTTGGGTATACAGACACGNGGAGGTGGATGCACAACGCACCCAGGAACGAACGCTAGCTCCGGTCCTTTTTACTGTGGACTCGATGTCCTGACAGGCTGGTATTTGTGCAACCTGCACAAACACAATACTGCACCATGATTACAAATGGTGAAATACAATGTAAAACTACCGAAAAATACCAGCTCCTTAAAACACAACCGCTCTACTCAACGCAACTCTACTATACCTGCGGTCAGAGAGCGGAGATGTGTCCCCTGCGTGATGTAATATGACACGTATGACCTTAAAAAAAAGCCTTTTTTAAGAGCAGAGCTCAAAATTGCTCCTTTCCCTCTGAATTCCTGCCCTTATGTCTCGTAAAACATATCAAATCCTGCATTCACTTTTTTAATTGTAATTTTCAAGCAAGTTTAAGCATAAATGTAGAATAAATAAAAACCTGCAAGATGCTCTTTAAATTATTTTCCCGAGGTCGCAACAGGCCCCCGTGAAGAGGGCTTCATTCTCCCCGCGCATCTGGATAAATAGAGAGGCGAAGTCACGCCCATCTACTTCCGGTCCATGGGACCCCGGAAGCGAAAAATTATACATTGAATTTAATGGAGAGAGAAAACGTATCTTTTGATCCCGTTTGAATTGTGCCACGAACTACACATATGGTGTTTGTCAATCTTAAACAATAATTTCCATGTAAAAAAAGTCACATTTTGTCGTAAAACTGTTGAAATATAAGACTATGAAAAATACGCGACTACAAAGACTACAAATCCCAAATCCCATTCTGGGTCGCGCATGTGATGTCACAGGC